GTCTTGTTTCGGCACAATTCTGCTAAAAGGTTGCCTACCCCTGAGCTAGACGACAGATGAGTGCTTTTGTCGTTTGCCTCCGGCTCGTTAAACATTTGTATAAAGGTTAGACTAGATTGGCCAATTGCTTCGTATTTATCGTTACAATTTTTATTTATTTTTTCCAAACCCTTTTTATCGTTTTTTAATATAAAGTAAAAGAATCCTATGTTGCTTCTGCATTCTTAGCACATTACAACACTAAAAGAGTAAAATATAATTATTTTTAAAATTCATATATTTATTAAAAACATTTTTATACCATTTTTAAATTGATCTGTTTTTCACTAGTTCTAAAATGTTAAACTCCTAAGATAAAACAAAAAAAATAGTTATCCTTGCTGAATTGGAAGGAATAAAATTTATATATTTTTTTCTGCTAAATTTATTCAATTAATGGTCCTTTAGTTTCATAATTAATTTGTTTATCCTGCTGAAACTTTCCCTGACTTTCCAAAAATGTTCTAAATGAGGCATGGAATCTCTGCTTCAGTGGTAACAATATGTAGTGCCCTAGGAGATAACTAATAACGTGCTTTCTGGATCAGCCAATTTGCCACCAGCCTATGGTTTTCCTGATGATAATTAGATTCAGAAGAATAAAACTATATGCCAACAGATCAAACAGCACAATCCTCTGATAATTTACAGCATTGCGGAATAGAAGTATGCAGGTTAGCTACTGAGCGTGTATTGTGCCACAGTTTGCTCAACCTATTTGTACAGTGGGACCTCGGTTTACGAATCTAACGCGTTTTCCGGGACATTTCTTACTGCGAAAATGTTGTAAACGGAAACGCAGTTTCCCATAGGAATGCATTGAAAACCAATTAATCTGTTCTGTAGGTCAGAAAAAAGTCAAAATGAGCTGGCATGGAAATCAACCCACAATGCAGAACACACAATAAAAGGCATGGAAACGACAAAGCTCAGCTCCCTACCTTTCCACAGCTTGAGAAATGCACCAAAAAGTCCCAAAACAACTGCAATTTCCAGAATGGCTCCATAACTCGATGCAAAAGCTGCTCCAACACCTCCACACTCGATGCCACGTGCTACCCACAGGCTCCAGCATGCAGGGGGCGGTGCTATAAACCTCCCAGGTGCAATGCATCCTGGGGAAACTTGCTTTGTATTGTGAAAAAAATTTTTTAAACCGAGGCATTATTTTCAATGGATTTTCATTTGTAAACCGAAAATTATGTTAACCGAGGTACCACTGTATCTCTCTCCAGTGTTCCTATAAACAGAATCTGTAGGATTTATAGTTTTTAAAATATGACCGTTTGAAGATGGCAACCGCCAAAATACTCTTTTATAAATGTATGTTTTAATGTAACTGTGAGGCACTTTGGGCAACAACGTTGCAATTAAATGTGCTATATAAATAATAGTTACTCTGCCCACTCCAGTTGTAGACTATTGGTGGAGGCAAGAACACTTCACACAATTTCCCCAGAAATTGTAGCTTTATAGTTATTTTATTATTTATATAGCGCCAGCAAATTTCGTAGCTCTGTACAATGGGTGGACTAACAGACACGTAATTGTAACCAGACAACTGGACGTACAGGAACAGAGAGGTGGAGGGCCCTGCTCAATGAGCTTACATTCTAGACGGAATGGGGTATAGTGACACAAAGGGTATAAGCAGGGGTAATGAAATAGATTGCTAGAAAAGTAATCACTGAAAACTTAGGTTATTTTTGACCGTTGCAAGAGAGGAGACATGGGGGCGATGAAAACCCGCAAACAGTTTAGATGATATGCTTTCCTGGAGAAGTGTGTTTTCAAAGATTTTTTTTTAAGGAGTGCGGACTGGGTGAAAGTCTAACGGAGAAGGGAAGGGAGGTCCACGGAAAAGGTGCAGCCCTGGAGAGGTATTGGAGGCGAGCATCAGATGTGGGAGTACGGACAGAGGATATACGTAGGATATTTGTTTTAATTTGCTAATGACAAATCCTAATTCTTTTTTTTTTTTTTCTTATATTTATATATTTATTTTCTATTAACATTTTGAAAACTCTTTTCAGACTGATAACAAATGGTTTTATTTATATTCTACATGCATGTCAGTAACCAATAAGGAATAAATATGATCTGTCAATCCAATTTGTGTCAGCTGCGATTTCAATTAACAGACACTGCCAGAGTTTGCGCTGTTAATAAATTTAAACTCCTGGACAAGGAAATAAGAAAATGAGTTGTCCCCTAATCTTTTTGGCTCCAAGCCTTTGAGTACTGGACCAGGTGAAATAATTAAATTATAGTTATTAGGTTACCTGCAGTGTTTAAATTATAAAAAAGAAAACACATCTCTCACAAAAAATTGAACATTTTACTTTGCAGCCGATTTTATTTTAGAAAAGGAGAAACCTGTATAGTTTTGTAATCTACACCATAACAATTTTAAAGTTAGTAGATATATTATGTTTTATATATAGTGTGTGTGTGTGTGTGTGTGTGTGTGTGTGTGTGTATGTATATATATATAATGTGTATGTGTGTATATACCTTTTTTTTTTTTTTTTGGTCTAACATAATTTTTAAATGTCAAGATTTCGGGCGAACCTCCCTTTCTCAAGTCGGAAGCATTTCTGAGCAAGACCACACATAGAATTCAAAGTTGAGTTGTGATACAGGGGTTAAAGTGACAGGAGTGCAGATAAGACACAGGTTTGATAGAAAATAGACAACATTCTTGCAGAGGGTCATAAATATCATTCTGTAGATCAGAGTGAGGGGGGAGATGAAAAAACAAAAAAACAATCAGACAGTGCAGAAGGTGTGTGTGTGTGTGTGTGTGTGTGTATATATAATATATGCACATGAACTCTTATACAGAAATGTAAATGCACAGTCACATATGTAAGCATACATGCATAAGCGTATGGGAAAGCATAGGTCTATAGATAGTACATATATATTGATAGAATAAACCTATTTCAATGCATTTTGAACTGTTGATACATATGACAGAACAGTAATGCTGGGGGAGTGTTCATGTAAAGTGTTGGTAGTGGGACAGGAAACCCAAATCAATATTTAGTCCTCTATTCTTGCTGTTAAACAATATGATCATTCTGGTTTCAAAAGTTTTTCTTTATTGGGTATTTTGATTTTTAGGTCCTTCATTGAGTGGCCAGGCTGGGTAAAGTGGTGTCCCACAGGAGTGCAGTACGATTCTTCTTTGTGGTGTTTAATAGAGTGTCTGTGCATATTCATTCTGCCATTTAATTGCTGGGTGGTTTCCCCTACGTAGCATCCTAGGTGGCATTTGTTGCATTGAATCATGTATACCACATTGCTGGATGTGCAGGAGTATGAACCTTTAATGCTGTAGGCTTTATTGTTGTGTGTGGCTGTGTTGTCTGTGCATATGTGCTGACAGTTTGCAGCAAGTTTTTTTGCATTGACTGGTCCCGTTTTCTTCATTCTTACCATCAGTGGGCAGCTTACTGTTGATTAATTTTTGTTGGAGGTTTGGTGGCAGTCTGAAGGCCAAAATGGCTGTTTCAGAGAAAATATTTTTCAGAGTCTCACCTTCTGTTAACATTGGTTGTAGGTCTTTAATGATTTTCTGTGTTTTCTCCAGAGCTGGGTTGTAGGTGACCACAAGTGGCACTCATGTAGATATTTTTTCTCTCTCTGTACTGTAGCAGGCACGTGCGTGGAGTTTTTACAGCAGAGTTGATTTGTTTGGTAATAGTCTTTGGTTTGTAGCCTGTCTCATAGATTGGGAGAGTACATTTAGATGGGAATTACAGTCATTAGGATCAGAGCATATGCGAGGTACCTAGTAGCTTGGCTGTAGATGATTCCCTGTTTAGTATGGTAGGGGTGGAAGCTGGAGCTGTGAAGGTAACTGCACCTGTCTGTGGGTTTTCTATAAACCGATGTGTGGATTGTGCCATTGTTACATGTCACAGTGGCATCCAGAAAATTCACAGATCTAGTAAAATATTTAATTTTTAGTTTGATGGATGGAATGTGAAAAGAGTCATGGAACTGTATCAGTTTTTCTTAGCTTTCAGTTCAAATTATGAAGATATCATCGATATAGCGATAATATTTGTATGGTTTGGTGTGCTGTATTTCTAGGAATCTCTGTTCATATCTGCCATAAACAGATTAGCATATTGGGGTGCCATCTTAGTGCCTATAGCATTGCCCATGGTTTTTTGGAAAACCTCATTGTTAAAACTGAAATAATTATGTGTGAGGATGAATAGTGCCAGTACTGTGATAATTCAGGGGGCTGTTTTTTTCATTGTCGGCATAAGAGGGTAAATGGAAGCAAGCATTGATGCCATCTGTATGTGGAATGTTGCTGTACAGAGATTCCATATCCATGGTTACAAGCATGGTGTTAACAGGGAGATTGGTGATTTGGCTGAGTTTGTTGAGGAAGTTGGTTGTGTCTTTTATGAAGCTGTTAGTGTTGGTGACTAGAGGTTTTAGGGTATTTTCCACCAGTCCTGAGATCTTTTCTGTGAGAGTACCCATTCCTGTAATTATGGGTCTTCCAGGATTACCTGCTTTGTGGATTTTGGGAAGCATATAGAAAGTGCCCACGTAGAGACAAGTTGGTACGAGTGATTGCAGTTCTAGATGCAAATTCTCAGGGAAGGATTTGATGAGCTCCCTAAATTGTGATGTATATTCCTTGATGGGGTTTTCATTTAGTTTTCTATAGTATTTGTCATCTGACAATTGCCTATCCCCCCTTTTATGTAGTCCTGGGTGTTTATGATCACCCTTGCTCCTCCCTTGTCTGCTGGTTTGATGGTGATAGCATGATTATTTTTCAGGTCATTTATAGCCATTTGTTCCTGTACTGAGAGATTATGAAACATTTTTTTTTGATTTTGCTCGGTTGCCAAGGATACTGTTCTTAGACGGATTCTTTCAATGTAACTGTCCAGTTTGGCATTTCGTCCTAGTGCTGGATTGAAATTGGTGTTCTTTTTCCTGTTGTTGTAATCCATTGTGGTTTCAGTGCTCTCTTTGTCATGGAAGTATTCCTTAAGTCACATCCTTCTGAAAAATTATTCCAGAGTAGAGCCCAATGTCATCATGTTTTGTGCTAGGGCAAAATGATAATCCTTTGGAGAGAACTGATGCTTCGGAGTCAGTTTATAATCCGAAATGTTATCAATACCAAACTTCTCTTGACATTTCTCTTTCTCTGCCAGATGTTTGTGATAATCATGCAAAATCATGAACGGTGCTCGACTTCACATAAAGCAAAGTTGTTTTGCTGAGATTAAGAAAATGAAAACATTGGCACTATTAATAAAATGAAAACATTGGGGCACTATTGCATTATTATAAATATTTGCATTCCTAACACTAGTGTTGCTTTAATCTGGAGTATTTTTAGAGTAAGGTATAGAGACCTATATCATTGAAGAGATAAAATCAGAAGTGTTGTTTAAAATGTATCAGATCAATGATTTACAGCGCTACGGAAATTGTTGGTGCTTCATAAATAAAAATAATGAAATTGTAGTCCTAGCAATATCATTAATGGCTTATCACAGTTGTTACAGTGAACTAGTTATTTTTATCTTTATAGATACACACCTTTTCATTCACAATCAACATCTGAAATATGCAGGCAGGCTTGTTCGCGAAAGTGAATATTAAATTTAAGGCCAAAGTAGCCAAACTGAAAGCTGATTTAAAGACCTTTTTCCAGTTTGGTTATTTTCACCTTAAAATGGAAATGCATTTTGAATTACTAACCATTCTCACACTAAATTACCCTAGTAGAGTATGCTCTGTTCATAGACATTTACTGTCTACTTCCTGCAGTGAGATACTTGTTATGTTATGCAGTTGAAAGAGGGGACTTTAGCACGCTATTCTTTTCCAAATCATCAAAAAGCCATTTATCTCATCAAGGTAGCACTGAGTTAAAGTGACTGCCATCTGTCATTTCAATATCCACTGCCCTGCCTGGGCCCCACACTGTTCGAATCAGTGGAAGAGACTAGATGGTGTATTTAGTTTAAATGATACACTGGATGCTCCAAACAGATTACTGGAGGAGAGATTTTAGTAAATAGAGGAAGTTTAACAGTATCACTCAGCTCCAGTTAGGGAGTTGAAGTAAACTTGTTGCCATATATGGAGTGTTGCACAGCTCACAGACAAGATGAGGCTGCTGTGATTGTGACATGGAGTGACAGCAGGGGACAAGTCAAAGCTAAGCACACAGCAATGACATTGTGAGTGCTGAGCTCAAACTGGTAACATCGAGAAAGGTAAGGAGATAAGAGGGCTGTAATCTGTCCTGTCATGCTGGCTACCTGGGATCCATATACTTGCTCCATAAGATAACTATATCTTTTCTAATACAGGAGACTAAGAATTTACGAAAAAATCATGTCAAAAGGCTGTGGAAAAAAACGATACCTCAGGTCCAGGACGGTTTTAAAAACTCTTGGTGAGAAAAATCCCAATGACCTGGTCCTGGTGATTGGAACGGGGGTGAGCGCGGCTGTAGCTCCAGGTGTCCCTGCGCTCCGTTCATGGCGATGTTGTATTAAAGCTGTAATAGATGCTGCAAAACAGTTTGAGGTATTACACCCTGGGGATGTTGTGGAATTCAAAAAACGGGTTCAGCGTGAACAAGACTTACTGGATGTCGCACGTGACCTGATCAGGAAAATGTCACCACGAACTGGTGACCATGTACCCAGCCTTTTCCAAGACTGTCTAATGGAAGTGTTTGAAGACCTAGAAAGCCGTATCCAGGACCCCGCCATTCTCAAGTCGATCATTAGTCTAATGGACAAAGGGGCAATGGTGTTGACTACGAACTATGATAACCTGCTGGAGCTATATGGACAAAAGATGGGCAAACCCATGGAATCGGTGGACCTGAATGATAAAGTGAAGGTTTTGCAGTGGGTACAAAGCCGCATTAGGTATGGCGTTTTTCATATCCACGGGTCGTACAGGGATCCTTGTGGCATGATTCTGGATCCGTGTGGACATCGAAACGATGCACAGGACCTTGAGCTGATGAATGAGCTGCAAAACTTGTACTGCAAAAAAACATTCATTTTTCTCGGCTGTGGAGAGGCTCTGCGAGATCAGGTTTTCCAGGCGCTTTTTCTTTACACTGTGCAGAATAAAGTCAGTATGGAACATTACATGCTGGTACGGAAGAACAACACCGATGCCTTCTATCAGCTTCAGGCCAATATGCTGCTTAATGGCATCAAGCTTATGTCCTACGGAGATTCATTCACTAACTTTCCATCATTTATAAAAGGGCTGTCTGCACTCCTATGCAAAGAGAGGACTAAAAATATTGCACATGTGGACATTGAAATGCAGTGTGAGCCTCTGGCTAATGTTCCACGAACAGCTCGAAAGAGGAAGCCAGATGAAAACACCAGGACTGGGAAAAAAGCTAAGATGAAGGCTGGAAATCTGAGAAATTAAACCCCCCTATTAATCAATAAAGGGCTTCTCAAGTCTTAAATACCTGTGTCCAAGCAAATCGCCATTTTGTACCAGACTCAATGAATGTAACTGTGAGTTGTTTATATTTCTTTTGAAGACTGGATGAGTAGTGGCAAATGTTTATACTCTGTATCTCTATGGGAATAACACTTTGAGAAATAGATATCCACCCACTCAGGATCAGATTAAGAGCCCAGTGCTGACAATTATGATGGGACCTAATTACAGAATCTTATCAACCAAAAACACTAAAACAGTCATACCTCTCAATCGTCATGTATCTGATGGAGTTGGTGTTGGAGGGAAACTCAAAGAATGCAGCTATAAGAAAACACATACTCTATGCTAATCTCTTTATTAAGTGTTCTTGCATAGCAAGACCACTTATTGTTATCTCACATATATATTATTATTCTTATTATAGCCAAATTTGCCACCCTAACTCCTCCCACAGTTTTTACACTACATAGACAAAAATTTACCAAAATGTGCAGATTGTTCCCGATCGGATTGCTATTACTTTGTGGAACGTTTCGCCGAATGGTTCACGGAATATCGTCGTTCTTGTGGCGAAATTTGTCCCATAGGAATGAATGGCAAAGCTAGAGTGGGAGCTGGCAAAAGCTGAAAAATCAGGACATGATTTCTAAACTGCCACCACTCCCTTATTTTCAGGCCCACCTACACAAATCTTATATCAAAACGTTCAGCTATCCCTGCTGCCACTAGAAATGTCCACGGCTAAGCCATAGTCCTGATAGATTTCACAATATGACCATTTGTTTGCAACTCATGCCTTCCATTGACATTCATTGAAACTTCACTCAAGCCAGCTCAAACTTGAAGGGCAATTTCTAAACTGCGACTGTGCCTTCATTTATAATACTTCAGAGACATACTATGCATCAAAATGTAGGTCTGGGTCTTGTGATTCTCACAATATAAAGTTCGCTGTAGGATTTATAGTTTTTAAAATACGACCGTTTGAAGATGGCAACCGCCAAAATACTCTGACCTGTGCCAGGCTGCAGCAGCAAGTGATGTCATAGACAGGGCCTTTTATACACCTGCTAATGTTTTTATAAATGTATGGTTTAATGTAACTGTGCAACATCGTTGCAATTAAATGTGCTATATAAATGATAACAGTTACTCCGCCCACTCCAGTTGTAGACTACTGGTGGACGCAAGAACACTTCACACAATTTCCCCAGAAATTGTAGCTTTTCTAGTTTAATTTATGCTTTAATCTTTCAAGTAAATCCATACCCCCTAACAGCAGTGTCCAGTGAAGCAGGAAGTCAATGGGTGGGGTAAAAGGGTGGGTCACTGACTCACATCACGTGACCAGAACTGCCAAAAGGGGTGAACATGCCCAAAAAGGCGGCATGTCTGTCTAAAGAATTGAAAGGCCAGCCTGGCATCACTGTCCCTATGTATCACACTGTCAGTTTCCCCATGTCACCCAGTCCCCTAGTCTCCCAGTGTCTGTGTCCCCATTTTTCCCAGTGTTCCCATGTTTCAGTGTGTCCCACTGGGAGACATGGGGACACTGGGAGACATGGGGCACTAGTGGATACAGACATGGGGACACTGGGAGACATGGCGACACAGACATTTGGGGACACTGCGAGAAATGGGGTCACAGACACTAGGGACATAGAGACATGGGGACACAGACATTTGGGGAAACTAAGATACTATGGACACTGAGAGACATGGGAACACAGACACTGGGAGACATGGATACACTGAGACATTAGGGACACTGGCTGGGAGGCTTGGGGACACTGGAAGACATGGGGGCACTTGTGAACATAGACATGGGGACACTGATAGACATGGGAACGGACACATGGGGACACAGACACTGGTAGACATTGGGTCACATACACTAGGGACAAAGAGACATGGGGACACAGACACTGGGAGACATGGGGACACAGACATTTGGGGAAACTAAGACACTAGGGACACAGACATGGGAACACAGACACTGGGAGACTAGGGGACACAGAGACATGGGTACACTGACACACTGGCTGGGAGGCATGGGGACACAAACACTTGGGGACACTGGGATACATGGGGGCACTTGTGAGCATAGACATGGGGACACTGGGAGACATGGGGACACTAGGGACACAGAGACATTGGGACACTGAGACACTAGGGATACTGGCTGGGAGACATAGGGACACTGGGAGACTGGCTGGGAGATATACCTGAGCTGTAGTCTGTCTCTGCAGGCTGGGTGCTGCTGTCTGGACTCTCTGTGCTGTGTAGCTGCTCCCCTGCGATTCAGTGAGTAGAGAGAGGCAGGGAGATGCTGTAACTTCCTATCCCTGCCTCTCTCCATATACAGTGACCCCTACTGGTACCATCACGGCCAGTCAGCCTCAAATACCGGCTGTGCCTTAAAATACCAGTCAGGTGGCAAACCTATGAGTAGTGTGTAATAAAAAAATGTAAATGGGCCTATTCCATGGGCCTGGAGCTGCAGCTCCATCAGCCCCTATGTTAATCCGGCCCTGCACCCATTGACATTAAAGGTTACTGAGCAGAAAGGCAACTGAGCCCTGTCTGAGCCATTTTTTTTTTTTGTCTGAGTCATTTAAACAAATGCTATTTATTTTCATTTCTTATACCTGTAAAACAATGTAACATGGAAGGGAACCTCAAAGGAAATACAGCTTCCAAAATCCATTTTACTGGATTGTGAGCAGCTTTAAAAATAATGAAATAAATAAATCCGTGGAAGAAGCCACAATTCTGCTTTAATATGTTTTATTTTGTCTCTCTAATGGCACTTTTTTATTTTTAATAGAACCCTTGTTATACAATAACAATAATTGTTGTATTATTACTTTAAGAGAAGTTCAGGTTGTATGTGGGGGAGATACCAAGGTATAATCTTAGCAAGGTAGAACAGCTGAGAGACAGTTTACTGGAGTAATTGTGCCCTAACTCCATTGATAGCTGCTACAACTCTTCAGGTTTATTTGCTGAGCCCTATGAAATCCTCCCTAATTTACGATTAACAGAGTTTCAATTAAAACTAGAAAAGCTACAATTTCTGGGGAAATTGTGTGAAGTGTTCTTGCCTCCACCAGTAGTCTACAACTGGAGTGGGCGGAGTAACTGTTATCATTTATATAGCACATTTAACCATACATTAAACCATACATTTATAAACACATTAGCAGGTGTTCAAAAGGCCCTGTTTATGACATCACTTGCTGCTGCAGCCTGACACAGGTCAGAGTATTTTGGCAGTTGCCATCTTCAAACGGTCGTATTTTGAAAACTATAAATCCTACAGCGAAGAGCTTTATATTGTGAGAATCACAAGACCCAGACCTACATTTTGATGCATAGTATGTCTCTGAAGTATTAAAAATGAAGGCACAGTCGCAGTTTAGAAATTGCACTTCAAATTTGAGCTTTGTAGAGTGAAGTTTCAATGAGTGTCAATGGACGGCGTTAGTTGCAAACAAATTATTATATTGTGAAAACTATCAGGACTATGGCTTAGCCGTTGACATGTTTAGTGGCAGCAGGGATAGCTGAACGTTTTGACATAAGATTTGTGTAGGTGGGCCTGAAAATGAGGGAGTGGTGGCAGTTTAGAAATCATGTCCTGATTTTTCAGCTTTTGCCAGCTCCCACTCTAGCTTTGCCATTCATTCCTATGGGACAAATTTCGCCACAAGAACGACGATATTCCGTGAACCATTCGGCGAAACGCTCCACAAAGTAATAGCAATCCGATCGGGAACAATCTGCACGTTTTGGTAAATTTTGGTCTATGTAGTGTAAAAACTGTGGGAGGAGTTAGGGTGGCAAATTTTGCTATAATAAGAATAAGAATAACTAGAAAAGCTACAATTTCAGGGGAAATTGTGTGAAGTGTTCTTGCCTCCACCAGTAGTCTAGCACATTCAATTGCAACGTTGTTGCACAGTTACATTAAACCATACATTTATAAAAACATTAGCAGGTGTTCAAAAGGCCCTGTCTATGACATCACTTGCTGCCGCAGCTTGACACAGGTCAGAGTATTTTGGTGGTTGCCATCTTCAAACGGTCGTATCTTAAAAACTATAACCCCTACAGTGAAGAGCTTTATATTGTGAGAATCACAAGACCCAGACCTACATTTTGATGCATAGTATGTCTCTGAAGTATTAAAATTGAAGGCACAGTCGCAGTTTAGAAATTGCACTTCAAATTTGAGCTTTGCAGAGTGAAGTTTCAATGAAAGTCAATAGACGGCGTTAGTTGCAAACAAATGATTATATTGTGAAAACTATCAGGACTATGGCTTAGCCGTTGACATGTTTAGTGGCAGCAGGGATAGCTGAACGTTTTGATATAAGATTTGTGTAGGTGGGCCCGAAAATAAGGGAGTGGTGGCAGTTTAGAAATCATGTCCTGATTTTTCAGCTTTTGGCAGCTCCCACTCTAGCTTTGCCATTCATTCCTATGGGACAAATTTCGCCACAAGAACGACGATATTCCGTGAACCATTCGGCGAAACGCTCCACAAAGTAATAGCAATCCGATCGGGAACAATCTGCACGTTTTGGTAAATTTTTGTCTATGTAGTGTAAAAACTGTGGGAGGAGTTAGGGTGGCAAATTTTGCTATAATAATAATAATAATATATATATATGTGAGATAACATTAAGTGGTCTTGCTATGCAAGAACACTTAATAATATATGTGAGATAACAATAAGTGGTCTTGCTATGCAAGAACACTTAATGGGAAGCTTGATTTATTTATTTATTTTTTTAAATGAACTCCAATGAATCTTACAATCACCCTTTAATACAAGTTCTGCCAAAGTCTGCAGTTCTTTATAACCTTGCTAATATTTCCACGTTTTATTCCGACACATTCTCTCCACGATCTCCTGATTTGATACAGAGATGGAAGGTTGATAAGTTGTGCTTTGTTTTATTCTTTGGGTGGGT